AGTGAAGTAATCCACAACTACAATCAGCCACTTTAATTGTCATTCAGCAGCTTTGAGGGTCCCAGCAAATCCATTCCCCAATTAAAAAAGGGCCATGGAGCTGAGATATATTTCAGTTCTTCTGGTGGTGAAAGGATTAGCTTAGCATGCTTCTGGCAATTGTCGCATCTCTTGACAGGTTCTTTAGAGTCTGCCTCCATAGTCGGCCAGTAATAACCAGCTCGGAGGGCCTTTCTAGCCAAAGCTTTACTCCCCATATGGTGGCCATTGATTCTTTCATGTATCTCAGCCAGCACATATTCTGCTTCTTCCGAGTTCAAACATTTCAGCATGGGGATATGCAATCCCTTTCTAAATAGCTGATCGTTCGCAATTGTGTATTGTGCCGCATCTCGGACCAGCTTCCTGGATTCCAGTCGATCCTCTGGCAATGTTCCTTTCTCAAGGTATGCCACTATGGGCTGCCTCCAGTCATTTGCCGAGGTGATGATCATCACGCAACTCGACATAGTTATACTTTGTTGTACCACGGTTCTGTGGTTACCTGGATTTTTGGTACTTGCCAATTTAGACAAGATATCAGCTCGGCAGTTTTTCCCTCGAGGAATGTGAGTAACTTGCACTTCATCGAAGTCGGCCATTATCTCTTGAACCTTGTTCAGATATTTCATCAATAGAGGGTCTTTGGCCTGATACTTTCTTTCTATCTACGAAGTTACCAGTTGTGAGTCACTGAAAATTTTTACCTTCTTGGCTCCGTGTTCTTTAGCCTGCACTAACCCGGCTATCAAAGCTTCATACTCTGCTTGATTGTTCAAAGTTGGGAAGCCCAGGTTCAAGGAGTGTTCTATTGTTACTACTTCTGGACTTTCGAGTATGATTCCAGCTCTGCTTCCTTTGTCGTTGGAGGATCCATCTACATAGACCTTCCAAGTATCCCTAAATTCCTTATGTTCCGGGTTTACCGGCGTTAGCTCCATTATGAAGTCGGCCAAAGCTTGCGATTTGATGGCTTTTCGACTCTCATATGTTATGTCGTACTCACTGAGCTCAATTTCCCAGTTAGTCATTCTTCCTGCCAGGTCCGGCTTGTGCAACACCTGCTGTATAGGCTGATTAGTCCGGACTATTATCTGATGTCCCTGAAAATATGGCCGCAGTTTCCTGGCCGTAATCAACAAAGCGAAAGCCACTTTTTCTAGCTTTTGATATCTGACCTCCGCACCTTGTAAGGCTATACTGATGAAGTATATTGGCTCTTGGCCTTTATTGGTTTCCTTTATCAGGACAACACTTATTGCTTCCTCCCCCACAGCCAGATACAGGATCAGAGTATCTCCTGGTTCTGGCTTTGACAGCACTGGTGGGGTTGCTAAGCACTTCTTGACCTTTTCGAACGCAGTTTGACATTCCGGATTCCAACCTTCCACTGCTTCCTTCTTTAACAATTTGAAGAATGGGAGAGCATTCTCAGTGGACTTTGGTAAGAACCGGGTTAATGCAGCCAGTCTACCCGTTAACTGTTGAACTTCCTTTTTCTTCGGGGGTATCCTCATATCAAGTACTGCTTTGCACTTGTCAGGGTTTGCTTCGATTCTTCTATGGGTCAACATGAAACCCAAGAACGTCCCAGCTGGGACTCCAAACGCACATTTTACCGGGTTTAGACGGATGCGATACTTCTTGAGTTTCTGAAAAGTTTGCTCAAGATCCTGGAAATGATTTGTCATATCAAACGACTTCACAATCATATCGTAAATATATACTTCTACATTTTTGCCCAACTGATCCTCAAACACCTTATTCATCATCCTTTGATAAGTTGCCCCTGAGTTTTTAAGTCCAAATGACATCAGATTGTAGCAGTAGTTGGCCTTTTCTGCAATAAAGGCAATTTTTCTTGATCCCCTGGGTACATTAGAATCTGGTTGTAACCAGAGTAGGCATCCATGAACGACAACAATCGAAATCCAGCTGAATTATCTACCAACTAGTCTATGTTAGGCATAGGGTAGGAGTCTTTTGGGCAGACTTTATTCAGGTCCATATAATCAGTACAGACTCTCTATTTCCCGTTTTGTTTTTTCACCATCTCAACGTTTGCAAGCCACGTTGTGTACTGTATTTCCCGAATGAACCCGACATCTAGCAACTCCTTCACGTGTTCTTCCAGGACTTGTTTCCTCTCTGGTCCCAACTTCCTTTTCTTTTGTGAGACCGGTGTGGATCCATGGTAAACTGCCAACTTGTGGCAGCAGAAGGCGGGGTCTATGCCGGGGATTTCTGATGATTTCCAGGAGAATACATCCGTGTTACTTTTGAGGAACCTGGCTAACTCTTCTTTGACTTGAGGATCTATGGTCTTACCAATTCGGGTAAATTGACCAGATTCTTCCACCAATACGAGGTTTTGTAATTCTCCATCGGGCTCTGGCCTCGGTATTACTTCTTCTCTCATGTCCAGTTCAACTATGTTAACAGGCTTCCTTGAATGGTAGGGAATTGTCTTCCTGCTGAGTTTGTCCCCCGGATGGATCCGGGGAGGACTCGAATGTCTGCCTTCGTTCTCCTTAACAGTGTCAAAGTAGCATCCTCTGGATTCCTTTTGATCTCCACAAACAGTGATTATTTCATTCTTGCTGCTTATCACCTTTATCTTCTAGTGCTTCGTAGAGACCAGCATGTCCCATTGGTGTATGGTTCTGGGAAATCGGCCACTATGAATCTAACCCATTCTGATTTGAACGCTTCCTTTGTTCCCAGGGTTAACCTGAGATCTATATAGTCTTTAGGAGGTGTATACTCTCCATTAAAAGATATCAAGGTTGTTTTGCAAGGTTTGAGGTCCTCCTAATCAAGATTCATATTTTTGAAAGCATCCCACAGTATAATGTCGACACTACTTCCTGCATCGATGAAAATCTTCTTAATTCGGCACTTTACTAAGGCTCCGGCGATGACTAGTCCGTCTACATGCCCCGACAAAACACCATGCATGTCTTCCTTTGTGAAATACAACAGAGGATGATCTGGTTTGCTAAGGTCTTCCTTAAATTTAGGGCGATCCCGAATAGAAAGGGCCTCTTTCAGATACTTTCGTCTAGCACTTACAGTGTCTCCTCCTCCTCTAAGGGCTCCACTAATTACGTTACAGTCAAATTCTGCTTCTGTGAATTCATCATTGTTGGAATCATCTTTGTGGTTCCTTTCATCCTTGTTTTTCTTCTTAGGGACCGAGCTTTTGCTTCTCTTCCGGTTTCCAGACTTTCTTTTGTTATTTTTGGAACCCTGAGTTTTGATCACATATTGGCGTAATCTTCCATCTCTAACAAATTTCTCCATAGCATCTCAGAGATCCCAACATTGATCAGTGGTGTGTCCCGGTCCATCATGGAAAACACAGTACTTGGACTTGTCCAAATCTCCTCTGTCGAAAATGGGTCGAGGTCTTTCTACTTTTTTCATATCCGTCATTGCCACTTCCCCCCCAGTTTTGAGAGTGCGAGGCATTCAATGGTGTATATTTCTCGTATCTTCTAACCCCGGTCTCGGCCATCCGGGATTCTGGTTCTAGAGTCTTTCTTCTTATTACCAATTCGCTCCTTTTCTTTAGGGACCGGGCTCCTCCTTCTCGGGCTATTTCTTTTACCTTCTTCAAATTGTGCATTTGCAATCTCTATTTGCTCGAGTTCGAGGTACTTCTTCGAACGGGTTCTGAATTCCTCCAACGTCCCCATTGGGTCTTTATAGACCGACTTGGCTAGCCTGGATGCTCCATCCAAGCCAGCCACAATGAGATGTACATGGGCATTCTCTTGTAAACCCGGCACCTGCAATGCAGCATCCTTGAATCGTCTGAGGTACCTCTGGAGAGTTTCTCCGGATTGTTGACGTATCTTCCTAAGTGCGAACTCGGATTTGGGATTTTTTTGCTTGTCGTAAAATTTAAGAGGAACTTCTCCACAAATTCCTCAAAGGACGCAATGGAGTTGGCAGGTAAAGTTGAGAACCATGCCTGCGCTGCCCCAGTCAGAGTGATGGAAAATATTCGAGATATGAGGGGCTCATCTATCCCTCGGATGTACATGTCTGTATCAAAAGCATCGATGTGGATCTGCGGGTCTTGACTTCCATCATATTTCGGCAATCACGCTGAATCAAAATCTTCTGGGAAGGGAGCATTCAAAATCTTCCCAGTGAAGGGGCTGTTATTATACTGCCCCTGCTATATTTTCTTCTGTAGACACCAGGTTCCACGCACCCTCTGATGATCTGTGCATTCTGGTTGGGGTGGATTCCATCCCGGTGTCTTTTCCCATTTGCTTCTATTGAAGCATTTTGAGTCAGGGCCTGCATAGCAGCGTTCTGGTCACCCATCGTCAAGTTCTCCAGGTTCAGATTCATCGTGCTCATCGGGTTAGGCCTTTCTCGGTTTTCTACCTAAATGATCCGATTTTGGTGATCCAAGTTGTGATTTCCTTCTCGGCCATTGGCATCCTAGCCTTCGGTTCTTCTCGCTCCTGGTCCAGTCATCCCCATTAAGCGTTGTTCCAGATCTCGCATTCTCCTGGTATTCTCTTCCTGTATCCTTTGGAAGTCTTGTTGCCGCTGGAGGTTATTACGATTCTTTATCTCTGTCATTCACTGCAAAATTGCAGCAAACACATTTTGAGCTAGCCGAGAGTCAGGATCAGCAGACTGGGCAACGTGGGCATCCAACTCCCCAGGATGTTGGTGGGGGTTGTTCAGAATTGGAGCCACAACTCGGTTGTGGGGTGCTGGAGTGGAGGCTGTATCTGATACGTCTTCGTTGATATGGACGTGATCATAATCCACATCGTTTTCAGGATGGTTTTGAGGCTGATTCACCTCTTCCAGAACTGGCTCCAGCGATTGATTCTGGTTTTGGGGTGGCTGCTGGCTACTGCTCCTTGTGTGTACTACCATCCTTAATCAGATTCGTGGGAATATCAAACTCCTAAGTTAAGGATTTCCCACAGACGACGCCAATGTTCTGTCCTTGGGACAGAGATGTTCAGCCCAATAGGCTGGTATGTTACTTTTGGATCTAGTGCCCCCCAAGGTATCTATGAAAGAGATACCCTTAAGTCAAGCAGATCACTGTGCACAGAATACTATTAACGGCGTTAGCCAATAAGGTGTGTGTGTGCGCACAGTGACAACATAACAGTAAGAGATAGAGAGAGAGCGTAACGTACCTTTAGGGTTTACCTTGTATTTATAGAGGTTACTTGTGGGTAGTGTGGATGGACTTTTGGTGCCTTTGATAAGAGACCATGCCTGCTTGCTATGCTGTCGTATTAGGATTAGCATCCTTGATGGATATCTATTCGTGATTACATTAGATTTACATTTTAGATAGCTCGCTCCTTATTGGGCCTGTCACTTAATGGGCCCCTTATACAGGTCCATAAGAGGATCAGATTTGAAAAAAATAAAAACCAGATGAATGATTAAATGATCAAACCAAAGGAATTGAATCAGATAATTTTTGATTCAAAATTGATTCTATCCTGTCCGCGAACACCCTACATGCAACACACACAAAAATGGTGAAATTTACTAAAAAGAAGAGAGAGAAAAAAAAGTGAGTCCAACCCATTTTTTATGTATGTATGCAATAATTTTATCTGAGACATATTTCTAATTAAAAAAATCGGCGAATTAGGTTTTTATTTCTTTCTCAAAAGTCAAAACTGATTCAAAATACTCCTACCGAAATTTAATCAAACTTATCAAAATTTCAGACGGTTGTTCGGGTCTCTGCATTTTTATTATTTTTAGTTTTTTACAATTAGTCAAAGCCATAGGTCTCTCCGTCGAAATTCATCACCTGGATAATTGTCAAAGCTTAATACTATACTCCTACCGAAATTTAATCAAACGTATCAAAATTTCAGTCGCTTGTTCGTGTGTATTTTTATTATTTTTACAATTAGTCAAAGCCACAAGTCTCTCCGTTGAAATTCAACATCTAGATAATTGTCAAAGCTTAATACTAATCCAAAGTTAAATATTATTATTCCTACACATGTATGATAAATCAGCGTATGGGCGTCCTACGCACTTGCTTATTCAAGTTATGTTATTATATAGGAAAAAATGTTTGTGATTTTAAATGACATAAAGTTATGTTATTTTAAGATAGATAGATACAAAATAAATTTTTTTATTTAAATTTTAAATTAAAAAAACCACTCACTTTTTCTCTTCCATTATTCTATTTTTGGTGTCTGTCTTTCTCCTAAAATGACATAATTTATGTCATTTAAAATGACAAACACAAATCCCTATTATATAACTTCTAAAGATTTCAATATGTAGGTGTCCAAGGACTTCAAATTAGTATATGTAATGTCATATGTTACTCATTGCGACACACTATATGTAAGTCGAACTAAATGACAGAGTTTATTATAAGAGTGTCTTTTTCTTTTAGTCTTCACAGTGTAATAATTTATTTCCTAAAATAATTCAACTTTAAGATATATTTTCGATATGATGGATTTTTCACTACAACCATTAGATACTTAATGATAATTAAAATTATGCATTATATAACTATGAGGCCTAGGTTGATAATTAGTCCTATAACTATCTGGGGATACTGAGGGGTTGACTTGTCTCAAAAAAATAATTAGGATAAAAAAATAAAATAATATGAACACCTCATAATCTTACCTTAAACAAAAGTATATAACACTTCCTAATAAAATTTATTTTTGAGTTTATCTAAGCTGTGCAATAATTTTATACTAACATACCATTCTATTCTGATAACTTTTTCCTTGGGTCACGTTTCAGTTTTTATTTAGATAATTAATAAAAACATTTCGAGTATAATGTATTTAAATGCAATAATGTATTTGGACATAATGTGTGTAGTAAAATAATTTTGCAAATAAATACATTGATGCATTTACAATTGACTCATTGCACATGGCTCCAGCTCGGCTCGGCCATTGGCTCGACCGAGGTCAGGGATCACGGGTCATGGGTTCAACCGCAGGGTCAAAAGGTCACTTTGCTGATCCAATTTTATAAATTAAAAAAATATAAATATAAATATATCTTGTATGAAAAATTCAAAAAAATCAAACCACCAATCATCAAAGATTCAAAATATATTTAATATAATTCAACTAATTACATCCACAATTCAATATTACTTAAGCTAATGAAAGTATCAAACTATCAAAGTATAAAATAATTATTCCAATGGAGTTAATGAAAAGTTATATTATCAAACACAGGCTCTCATTGTCCTTCTTACGCACATACTACAACATGTGAAATGAGATACCTTACCCAAGAGAGAATGGCGGAGGAGAGGCGGCGGTGCGACGAATCCACGACGGGGAGAGAAGAACCAACACGACAAATGAGAGGGATAAAGAAGACTGAAGATGATAGGAGATAGGAGGAACCACCACCATG